ACAGACCCAGACGAATGACGTCAACCGTTGTCCAAAACGACAAAATAAATGACTTGATGCAACAGCCAAAATTTGCATCATTAAGCCCTCAAGCCGGTTGCCACTTTGCCTGACACTGGGACTCACACACACACTTACACATGCAAACACACACACACATATACATGCATGTCTTTGGTCCCCCTAGTCAGCAGTAGAAAGTACATTTACTTAAATATTGAGGTACTTTACTTGAACATTTCCATACTTCAAGTGACTTTGCAGATTTAGATTATTAATTTAACATATAAATCAACTAATAAATCATATGTTATTGTAGGTAACTATCCAGCAGTTTGAAAAGTTATCCAAATATGCTCCACTTTTAATCCAACAGTATGATATATATGATTCTGAAATGAGACATTTTGCATAATCAGCGCTTTTACTTTGGTACTTTAAGTATATCTTTATGCCTTTTTTAAAATGCTTTTGTACTTTAATTTAAAGTTTTGAATGCAGGACTTTTACTTGCAACACATTGTTTCTACACTGTGATGTTGCTGCTTTTACTCAAGCCAAATATCTGAGAGTTTCTCCCACTACTGCTCACGTGCAAACGACACTCCTTTGTAGCTACAGCTGCAATCAGTGTCTCAGTTCTCAAGAATATATTATAAAGCAGTTTGTTTTACTCAGAGGTCTGATGCTTGACTTCACCACACCTATTTGGAAGATTACTCAGCAGCACTGCATGATGCGGTCACTGCACCAATAAAAAAAAACCTATTATATTTTAACCTTAAGCGAGGGTGTGTTTCTCTGATGGTTGAGAAAACAATATTTGGGATTCTGGAGAATTTCAGAGCACAATTCGAAATGTTCCTCCCTTAATATTAAAAGTGAGGCAGAAACAGGGTAAAAGGTTGAAGGCTACACGAGTTCAGCTGTTCTCACAGCGGCAGAGTTAGCAGATGAAAGGACGCAGGGGCTTCCGTGTGTGGTTTGACTGGTCTCACGCCAGACGGAGGTTAGCAGAACCGGGCTTCCTTTGAAAAGCAGCTGACATTTCCCCTGGGAAGAGTTGGGTTGCCCGTCGGCTCGACTGGTAGCTCGCCGTCATTATGGGAGAGATTGGAGGGCTGGTATTCCGGCTGTCACAATGCGGTCCAGTTTTTCCGTAACAAGAGGTTAAAGAGGCGAAAGAGTGAGAGAGGAAAACAGGCTTATACAAGAGGGTAAATTATATGATTCTTCACCTAAGTTGCCCCTCAAATACAGTGCGGCAAGGATGTTTTTGTGGGCCGACATAGAGGTTAAGGTCGCCCTGGTTCCCTTGACAAAAAGCCAATGGGATTTTTCCATTGGATTTTGCATTATTGCAGAAAATAAGATAAAAGTTTGACACATTTGTTTGGTTCAGTGAAATAATCTTCATAGATGAACACCACTTTTAGGATTTTTGAAGAGTGAATACAATCCACAAAAGTAAAAAGTTCGGCTTTGAACAAACTACACCACGTATGACTTCAATGTCACCACCACAGCAAGGGTGAAAAGCCACGCTCAGCGTGCTGGCGTTCAGTAGTATCATTTAGCCACTTGTTAGCAACCACCTTTTTTAAGACACAGAAAAACTTCTGAATACACAAGTGGGATATTTACTGACCACAGACCTTAACACATCTAACCGAAAACCCATTGACTTCAAGATGGGGATAGCGCAGTTGCTAAAATGCTAACTCATTTTCGCATTTTAGGACTCCTTCCTGCACTCAATAGGCAGTGTTCATTCAGTCAGGCTGTTTCAAGCTAAATTTGGCAGATATTTAAAATTAAAATGTGCAAATATTTTGGAAAACTGTGCAGAATATTGGTATCAATCGGCGCAACACTAGCCTTATCTCAATAGTCGACCAATTTGGAGAAGTGGATGCAAAAGGTCTGGAGTTAGGCTAAAGCTAAACTAGCTTGTTCAGAGTTATGGCAGATTGGCTAACTGCTAAGCCAAGCTAGGCTAACATATCTTGGGCAATCTCTGAAGTGAAAGCCCAAATATTCAATTGAAACTGAGGTAGAAATTGATCTCGGAAACAGTAAACGACCTCATGATCATATGATTGAAAGCTCCTGAGCAGCTACTAAATGGACTTTGTTGGTGAGACTGTTGTGTCAGTGATACTGAAATGTAGTTTGTCGTGTAACTCCTGCAAGAAAACATATTTCCCAAAAGGATAGAGTGTTCCTTTAACTTTGTACAACTGTAAAAAGAAGTTCCAATTATATACAGCAAGGGGTGAATACAAAGTATGACTGATGAGGGCAGAGATAAATCTGCAATAATTTCTCCTTTATAGGAGATTCGAAGTTGGACACAAACAGGTGGTGCTGCATACCTCCATTGGTAAAACATGGCACCAGCTCTGGCCGGGTGAATGGTATGATTCCCACTGGGGCCAGCTGCACTACACATGATCCCACTCATGATACCAAAAGGTGTTTGGGATAAAAGCGTCCAGCAGATTGTCGCATGCAAAGTGTAGTAGAGGCTGGGAAAGCCGAGCGTGGCATTCTCCAAGGCGTGGAAGAACAGATACCTCCCCTGGGCAGAGGGGGGAGTCCTCCTCGACCGCTCTATCTAGGTTCCCATGGAAAACACAGCTGGGCCTTGAGGCTCGGCTGTCTCACATGCATGCCCTCTTAATAAGCATCCTGCGGTTGAAAAACTTCTTTCCAAGTGTGGTGGAAGGCGGATGCCGCAGATGGCACGGTGTAAACAAACCTGGATTTGATCTGAATTCATTGTCTGTGCCAGAGCGGGGTTTGGTTTTAGCTTTAGGCGTAGAGGATGCAGGCCGTGTGAGGTCACCCTGGCTGGCTTGACCCTTGCTGACACTGTGGCTGGCCGGTGCCCAAACTCACCAGTCGATTCTCACATGACCGGAGCAGCAATGTGTTTTAGTAAACCTCAGGCGCTGCAGGCAAGAGGTCCAGCGTTTGGGGAGCTGTCAGGATCCTCAGTGTATGGGTAAAAGATCTCTAAAGAAGCTAACTAAGCTTTAATTTACGGTGGGAAAAGAGTGAAAGGGGGGTGATAAATATGTTCAATAGGTTTAATACTACAAAGATATCGTGCATGAAGAAAAGGCAAAGAGCAACAAAGCACACATACTGACCCGCTTACAATTTTTAAGAAGTTTTTCAATTCTTATTTTGTACTCTATATTTAAAGTGGTGTTTTACCATTTTGCAGAACAAGGTTTTGCATGCACAACATTGATATGATCTTAGATGATGCATTGTGAGAGATGAATCCGGCCACAACTGACTACATGTGGTCTATGTGGAGTGCATTACATTGCAATACTTCCTGCAGGGTAACACACATTCTACTATTTCTTCAGCACTATTTCAGAACCTTTTTCTAAGCAATGTAGAAACCCTTCATTAGAAAACTCATACATTTAATATGATACTAAGTAAAGTAAGAACATTTACTGGATTTGACCTCACCTTTAGTTTGATTTATTTACTGTTGATTTCTTTATATTTTAAATATCTATGTTTATTTGTTGTCTAATTCTGTTGTTTTTTCCATTTTTAATGTGTATTTTTTCATTTGCTGTGACTCACACTGGATTATTTTCTTAAATATGCTGTATTGATTACATTTAAATTGTGCTCATTTTTATTATCAGAATGATAGTGTGTTACTGATGCATTCATGTGTGAGCAGAATTTATGCGTTGCAACACCAATAACAATCATCATATCTTATGAGTAGCTCCTACTATGTTTTGTGTGTAAAATATTAATCAGCAGGTTGATTTGCATCTATGACAGCTAGATAAATATAGTGGCAATATTTGTCACTGACCTATATGTAGCACAAGTATAAAGGAGCATAAAATCAAAATATTCAAGTATTAGTACCTCAAAATTACGCGTTAAGTACTTAAACAAATGTATTTAATTATTATTAGTTTTTCCTTTTTAATTATTTTATTTTGTATTTAATCATGTTGAGGTTTGTACTGTTTGTTGGACAAAACAAACATTGTGTCACTTTGGGCTCTGGGTAATTATGACATATTTTTCCCCATTTTCTTTTTTAATTTTTACAAACCGAATGAACAATTGATTAATGGAGATTTTAATCTACAATTAAAATAATAATTTGTTGCACTCAAATTGTTCAAGATGAACTCTATATTCTATATTAATGCATGGGTAATATTCTAATTTTAGAATATATAAGATAAGATATACTTTATTGATCCCCCAGAGGGGAAATTAAAAAATCACAGCAGCACAAGACAGAACAAAAGACATTAAATAGAATAAGATAAAAGAGAAATATAAAATAAAATAATAGTAAATAAATAAAAGATAAAATTGCTTTTTAATTTTATTTATTATTACTATTTTATTTCATCTTATTTGCCTTGAGCACTTTCTCTTTCAATACTTAAACTACATTTTTAATACACACTTACATACTTTACTTACTCAGCATTTTCAATGTAGGACTTTACTTGTAACAAAGTGTTTTACAGTTCGGTATTATTACTTTTGCTTAAGTAAAGGATTTAATACTGTCTTATACAACTGATAATAGCGTTTAAAAAATATCTGTAACTTGACCCAGGACCTGTGTTTGCTCTCAGCGACAGGGGGAAGACTCTAGGTGGCTCTTTGGCTCGTCTGCAGCAGCTCTGAGATCAGTTTTCTACGTCTACACAGTTGCTGTAAATCCTCTCAGCAGACTCCAGATCAGCCCTACAAAGTCACCGCCTTATTTTTAACTCCAGCACAACTCGACGCGATGTGATTGGTCACCGCTATTGACGCAAAGCACTAATATCTTGCAGCGATTGGCTCAGACTCCTGTCAAAGCTTGTCAGTCAAAATGATGAGCCAATCAGAGCGCGCGTCTGACTCTTTGTTCCTCCCGTTTGGTGTGTGACGCAGAGGGTCATGTGTTGTTTGTGCTCTGGCCCGTAGAGATGTGTACAGGAGGAGAAGGGAACGGATTGCTAACCGAGCTAGCCGGATCCTCCCGATTATAGAAACACGGCAGAGCGTGGTCATGTTGCACACGGTAGGATTCATTTCGTGAAAAAAAGCTCGCTGTGGAATACACGCCTCGCCGCGTGAAAAGAGGCGAGGGGACTTGTTTTTTGACGGAATAACAAAGCCGGTGCGTGAGGATTGCAAATCTGAGCTGTGAGTCAACGTTAGCTGGCCTAGCCGGACTCGGGAGCTCGTCTCCCAAAACAAGAATGGGGTCTAGGTCCACTCGGATTAGCTTGCTAGTAAAGTGACCTTTGATTGTATTCACTGATGGCAAATTTCACGAATTACCAGGAAGGCAAGGCAGCGATGTTGATGGTGGAGACGCAGCAGAGGGACGTGGGGACGAAATCCGCGGCCGCCACCGCGAACGGAGACGGCTCGGTCGGGGAACCCCCTTCCCCGTTAATTAATATCGGCGGCGGCGGAGGAGGCGGCTCTCGCTTCCATCAACATTTACCGCCCTCCAACCATCACCACCTCAGTCTCCATAACCCGCCAAAGGAACAACAGCAGCAGCAGCAGCACCATCACTACCAGCTGGCCCCGCAGCAGCAGCATCTTTCCGGGGAAAGCACCGCAGAGTCCCCGGGCAGGAAAGCCTCCTCCTCCTCGTCCCTCAGCCAGGTACACACCGCCGAGGACCCCGCCGCTTCCTCCGCCGCTAGCAGCAGCAGCGGCCATGTATACGCCGCTGTGAACGTCGCCAACACCTCGGACGTTGTGGATGATATCCGAAAATGTGGCTATTTAAGAAAGCAAAAACACGGACACAAGAGGTTTTTTGTGCTCCGGGCTGCCAGCCACCTCGGGCCGAGCCGCCTGGAGTACTACGACAGCGAGAAGAAATTCAGGAACAGCCTGCGCTCTGCTGCCGCGGCCGCCGCCAGCGGTGGAGCGGTCGCCCCTTCTCCCCCGAAAAGGGTTATTTACCTCTACCAGTGCTTCACGGTAAACAAAAGGGCGGATTCCAAAAACAAGCACCTCATTGCCCTTTACACTAAGGACGAGTACTTTGCTATTGTGGCGGAGAACGAGCAGGAGCAAGAGGACTGGTACGTGGCTGTCAGTGAGTTGATGAGTGAGGGCAAAAAAGGGCACGTGGATTCAGATGAGTTGGATGATGGGTATGGTACGGTCACCCCTGGTACTGTGTTCAAAGAGGTGTGGCAGGTGAATGTGAAACCTAAAGGACTGGGTCAAACTAAAAACCTCACAGGTGTTTACCGGCTATGCCTCTCAACTAAAACCATTCACCTCGTAAAGTTGAACTCTGAAACCCCCTGTGTTAACCTTCAGTTGATGAATATCAGACGTTGCGGACATTCAGAAAGCTTCTTTTTCATCGAGGTGGGCCGCTCCTCCTCCATCGGGCCCGGGGAGATATGGATGCAGGTGGATGACTCTGTCGTGGCCCAAAACATGCACGAGACCATCTTGGAGACAATGAAAGCCCTGAAAGCTTTTGCAGAGTTTCGGCCCAGGAGCAAGAGCCAGTCGTCGGGCTCCAACCCTATGCCGTTTATCACAACACGGCGCCACCTGGGCAACCTGCCACCGAGCCAGACTGGACTGCAGCGGCGGTCGAGGACAGAGTCAGTGGTTGGCACGCCGCCGTCAAGTAAGAGCTCTGGGGCGAGTGGTTATCGCTTCCGAACATCCAGTGAAGGCGAGGGGACAATGAACCGGCCGTTCCGCTCAGCCACAGGAAGTCTGGTTCACCTGAACTCGGCACGCGCCCATCATGGTCGCCAGGAAGGGGGTGGCAGCAGCAGCAGCGGGAGTGGTGTCGCCACAGGAAACGCTGGCACGAGCACAGGCAGCGGGCGCTACGTCAGAGCAATCCCAGGGTCGACATCCACCTACCACGCCCGTTCCGCCTCGCTGCCAGTCTCCCACTTCCCATCCACCACCAGTCCAGTAAGCGTCTCCTCCAGCAGTGGCCATGGCTCCGTCTCCGACACGCTCACCCGCCCGTCGAGCGCCTCGATATGTGGCTCCCCATCTGACGGAGGCTTCAACTCTTCAGATGAGTATGGTTCCAGTCCTGGTGACTTCCGGTACTTCCGGGTGCGGAGTAACACGCCAGACTCCCTTGGCAACACCCCACCAATCAGAGAAGAGAACTGTCTAAATGATTACATGGCCATGGGCTGGAACCGGGAGGTCTTCGGCACCAGTGGAGGCTCTGGAAACAACAGCGGAGGTGACACGCCACGGGATGAGAGCACGTCGACAGAGGAGGACCGCTTTTCTTCGTCGTCACTGAGGAGAAGGACACACTCTTTCACCAGACCAACCGGTGGTGCAACTGGCGGTTCTGGAGTGGCAGTTTACCAGAAAATGACCCAGACCAACTTCTCATTGGACGAGGGGTCAGATGTCGTGTTACCATTTGGCAGCGGACTGCTCCGTGGTGGGCCATCCTCCTCCTCTTCCTCGCTGCGTTCTGACTACAGCTCCTGCTCCGAGCACAGCCAGCAGAGCCGTCCCTCCACGCTCTCCCGGACGGAGGCCAGCGGTGAGCGCCCGCCCCTCTCCTCCTCCTCTGCCAAGGAAGACAGCGGCTACATGCCTATGATGTGTGGCGTGGCTGCGTCGCCACGGGACACTCCTCCCGACTACATGCCTATGCAACCCAGCTCTTACTCACATCCCATTTCCCATTCCCCCCAGTTTCACAGTCCAGCTTTAGGTCCCCGTTCAGCCCACCACCCTCCACAGATCCAGTCCCAATCCTCCACAGACTCCCACGGTTACATGATGATGCTCCCAGGGGGCAGCGGCAGCTCCCCGTCTCCAGGTCAGGCCTCCCCCAGCCCTCACAGTAGCTCCAGCATGGCAGGTGCCAGTGGAAGTGACAGCATAGCGGAGAGACCTGAAAATGGAGAATATATGGACATGTCGTACTGCAGCGGTGGGGGGCGCAAGCTCTCAAATGAAGGGAGCGGTGCGTATTACACACCTGGCACACCTGAGAGCACCCCAAAGTCTTACAGCCCTTATTTCTCCCTCCCTCGTTCCTACAAGGCCCCCACCAGAGAGAGGGATGAGAAGGAGTATGGGGAGTATGTTCCTATGAGTTCTCCTGCCAAGCCAGTATATTCATCAGTTGCCACAGCTTCCATGTCAACACCAGAGAAGAAGGGTGGAGGAGGTAGTAGCACCTCCACTCCCTCTCACCCACCCCCGCCTTATGGAGCTCACCATACGACTGCAGCAATGGCTGACCGACGCGTCGTGAGGCCAAACCGCCTCCCTTTAGGCAGGAGAAGTTTCCATGGTCCACTGCGGGTTAGTGAGCCCTCCACAGCGTCTGCAGGCACCTCCACCTCAGTCTCCGCCACTGTCAGCTCATCTGAAAGGCCCTCCAGTCCCGGGGAGTATATTAACATCGAGTTTGGGGATCACTACCCCCACCAACAACAGCCCCCTGCTTATCCTCTCTCTGCCCAAGACGAAGCGCCTTCCCTGGGATCCAGTGACCACCGTCACTCCCCTCACCAGGACTACATGAGTGTGGAGGTAGCAGCTGACCAGCAGGACAGCGCTGAATGTCTGGGTAAAAACCAGTCACCCAGACCCAGTCTTGTTGCCCCCTGGAACCCACCCAGCTATATCCGACCCCTGGCTAGCAATCCCGGGGCGCTGGCCTCCCCTGGAGTCCCCGCCGGTGGTCACTGGAGGTCAATGGGGGATGACTACACAGACATGACATTTAACCTCAGCAGAGGTGAGAGGACGCAAACGAGCCCCACAGCCATGCTGCAGCATCTCTGTGTGATAGAGGGACATTACGGCCACGCTCCCTCCTCCTCCTCCTCATCCATTTCTCCCCCTCTCCCCCCGTCAAGCCCTGGAAGGGCGCCGTCACAGCAGGTGGAACCCAAAGTGGTTAGGGCCGATCCCCAAGGCAGAAGAAGACACAGCTCGGAGACGTTCTCCTCCACGTCCTCCTCTAATTCAACTCCCTCTGGAGGAGGACTAGCCCCATCATCCTCAGCCACCCACCCGACACTGGCCAGCTCCACAGCCCCCAACGGATCTTACCTAACGGAGGGTCAGGCTTCCAGATGGGCCAGCTCCGCATCTTTTGACAGCATGTGGGTGTCCATGGAGGGTCTAGGGGACTCACCGGCTCACCATGCTCCAATAAGAGCCATGGAAATGGGCGCAGCCTCCGGGACCTCAGCATCCTCCTCCTCGGGGGCTGGAGCCGGCAGAATGTGCAGGAACATGTCTGTGGGCTACCAGAATGGCCTGAACTACATTGCCTTGGAGCTGAGGGAGGATGGGAGTAACACGGGAGCCATGACGTCGGGAACCGGTAGCAGCAACGGGAGCTCGGTGGCGGCGGTGGCAGGGACGGTGCCTCTGCCGGAGAACGGAGCCTACGCCAGTATAGACTTCACCAAATCTGATGGAGTCACCACGACAACCAAGGGTGAGTAAACACAAGTGTGTTTTTTTTGTCAGGTGGGGGAACTGTCACTCACAGACAAATGGTGCTAAAATTTTGTTTGTCTCCTCTGACAGCCATTGTTTAAAGACTCTTCCTACTTTCACAATCATATTTGGCAGGAAGAACTTTCATTGGTTTTCTGGAGTCACAACAGCCAGCCAGTGTTTGGAAGAATATAGTTCCTTGCAGCGTGTGTGTGTGTGTGTGTGTGTGTGTGTGTGTGAGAGAGAATGAGCTTTTATGTGTGAGTAAAAGAGAGCAAGTGTTATGGATATTTTTTCCTCACTGAAAACCAAAATAACCCTAAGAGCTTCATGCTATTATTAGTCGCATTATATCAATTTGCAGCTCCTCTGGTGAATCTGTTTTGGATCAAGTCTCTGTGATCTTGACAAGGCTGCGTTCAGGCGCTTTGAGCAACCAGACAATGTCTTTGAAGGCATCTGTCCAGGGAGCTAAAGTCTAGGCTATAACAGTGCTGCTACAGGAAGTGGCACCAATATGCGGTTCATCTTGAGGTCTGTGTGTACGTTGTGTGCAAGCAGACTGGTAGACAATTAGCTCGCTGAATGAACTGAGGTTTATCTGAGGTCAAGTGCAGACTGAATCATCCCAAAAAAAAAAGGGCCCTGACTTCCTGTCTTTGTAGCTGGTAGTGTCTCTCTGCCTGTCTGTGCACGTGCCGCTGTTTTCTTTGTGTCAGCATGTGTGCAGAGTGTTCTTAACGTGTGGGTGTTTGTGTGTTCACAGCCTTTTGTCTGCTGCGAAGCTGTCACTTGAGACACTTTTCTACATTTTTGAAAAAATATATTTATTTATACAGAAACAGGGATGAGTGCAGTGCCAGCAGGAGCGGTTAGTATGATGGCAAAACACATAAAACACCTAACGGTGCTCTAATTTAGTGAAGCTCCACAACGTTCACTTTCTGAGGTGTTTTATTGTATTGTATTAAATTCAGTAGTTAATTTTGAGGCCATAGTTTGTAGGGTTGCGACTAATTATTCTTTTTATCATTGATTAATCTGATGAAAATATTCACAGGTAATTGTTTAGTCCGTAACATGGCAAAAATAGTGAGAATAATGTGCACCACTTTTTCCACAGAAGCCAAGGGGACTTTTTCAAACAGTTCAAATGCCCCAAAATGTTAAATTTAATGTCATTTATGACAAAGAAAAGCCACAAAGCCTCATATTTGATTTGTTGGATGAACAATAAACTTCTTCCTACTGACTGTGAGCCTTTTGTTCAGTGTGTTCGAGCACAATTTGTAGGCTGTACTAAGGAGGCTGATACTCCTCTAACTTAAGTGTATTCTGGAGTAGGGATGTTCCTAACATCTAATTTCCCCTTACATTTAAACTGGAGTTTAAACTTGGACTTGTCGACTAGTCTAAAAGTAAGAAATAACTCAGAACAGTCAAATTAAGCACAATTTAATGTATAAGGGTAAAACATTTTATATTTTAATCAGATTTTGCACATTTGACATTGAACAAAATAAATCTTCAGGATGCCTTATTATTACAACAAGATTTTTATTGGGTGAATGCAGTCATATGTAATCAAAATTTAAAAAATAAGTTTAACCTACTAGTACTTCTCGAGCTGACTAGCAAGAGTATTTAATTGACAAGTCAACTAATCGAGAGGGGTATAAATCACGAGTTTCATCACTAAACCATAGTATATCAATTCTTTGAACAACAAGACCATATTTGCTATCACAAAGTCTACAGTGATACGATTTTGATTGATATGAGATGATATCATATGCCCATTCAACACAATCAGTTACAGAATAAGTGGCAATCTCTTTCTTTTTTTCTTTTGGCCATAAATGATAAAAACGGCACATAAATGCTTTCTGAAAGAAAACTCTTCATTTTATCCCAAACCATTATCTTTTTCCTAAAACTCCGGGGCTATCTAGCTTAAGCAAACTTCTCCCAACAGCCATAAAACATGGAATTAACAGCAAGATAATTTAACAAAAGTATAAAATTCAGCTCAATAAAAACTGTTTCAGTTCATAAGCAAAACAGTTGTTTTTTGCCAGTCACCCATTATTAGCTTAGGGCTTTTTCATTGCATAAATTAGCCCAGCAGCCGCAGTAGACTTTTTTCCTCTACTCATAGCCTTACAAATTACATGCAGCCTTGTTATTTTTCTTACTCATTGTTGATTTAAGTCAGTAATTTCAGTCTGCATGCACGTGTTGCTGTGAGGTTAGGAGTAGGCAGGTACATTGTGTTTTCGCCTGTGTATTTTATCCTAAAACGGCATTGTTTACATATGGCACATGCTTTGTCCGTTGACCCATACATTCTCCAAAATCTAAAATATTTCCAGACTAGCACATCCTTATTCCTGAGTCAACCCTTCGAACTGATTTTTGAACAAGCTTAATAAAGGACTAGTACCATGCTGACAGGATTATAACATATCCACTAGCACTAAGCACTACATCTTCCTTTGTTTTGTTTTCAGTGTCACTGTTATCTAATATAATTTCCAGTGGAATATAGATTATATTGGAACTAGCTGTGTAGTAGGTGTTCATGTTGCCTGGCACTCAGTTACAGCATGCAAAGTCCAGACATGGACGTGTGTGTCAATGACACTTAGTGCTGAGGTTAGGTCTACAGTCAGTGTGGTAGACGGCGTGCACAGATCAAGAGGACCAAAAGAGGATGTTTTGACTCAGTTTTCAGTCTCTCGCTTCCTCTTTGATCATCTCCTTTTCTCTTTCACCCACTCGTCCTCTCTCATACTCTCTCCTCCCGCGCTTCCCCCTCGCTTCCTCCCCGAATTTCACTGTCTCGCTTCATGTGTGTGTGTGCATGAGTCAGGATTCTCTGCAAACGCCGGCTGACTCATTTGTTTATCGTGACGCTGAGCGGAGATGAAAGAGCGTGTGTCTGTGTGCGTGTGTATATATGTGTGTGTGTGTGGTAAATCTACAGTGCTGAATGTGTGGAGATCAACTGACACTCAAAGCGCTCAAGCACATCCCATTGTGCATGTTTGTCTGTCTGTCTGTGTGTTTTTGTTTTCAGCCGCTGCCAGCGGGTTCATTAAGTGTGTGTATGTGTGTGTGTGTTGGTTCATGCAGTTCAAGGCAACGTTCAGAAATGTTAATCCTTGCCCACACACACACACACAATCAGTCTGTGTTATATTTGTGTGTTAGTCTGCATCTAGGTAGGTGTGTGTGTGTTTATACGCGCTGAGTCATGGCAGGCAGCCTTTGATGTGGCGTCGTAATTGCTGCGGCAGCGTGTCAAGGCACACAGCGGGGCCGGGAGGAAACGCATCATCATCACTCAGGAATGCACTTCCTCTCAGCTGCGGTGTTGAACTGATACAGGCACACCTGGATCCTTGACCCAGAGCAGGGAGGGGGAGGGAGAGACGAGCTTTCTGACCAGCTGTCAAGGAAATTTGGTGTGAACTTCTGAAACGTGGCTGTAAATATTAGATAAAACATGAATTCAGCTGATGTTAAAGGGATAGTTCAGACTTTCTGAAGTGGTTTTGTGTGGGGCACTTATCCATGGACAGTATATTCCTAACAGTTGATGTTAGTCAGCACATTCCAAGATTGGAGATACAGGCTGAAGTCTAATGTACAAGCTTAGCAATCTACTGTGCAGGGGTCCGCACCAAAACGTATTTTAGCCACCATGTTGAGAGTATTTTTACCGCCTTAACGTAATGTCAGAGAGTGATATCTGACGGGAAAAAGTAGTAGTTATATCGCTCTCTTCAAAGCCAGAATCCTTTGACATTTGCCATTGCAGCGCGAACACGTTCCTCAGTGCATGTTTTTCAAAGAGCAATGACTGAGCACTGAGATGAATAGAGTTTGACTTTTGGAATGTAGCAGCGTAGCAGCACGCACCTGTTGTCATGTGACGAGGGACAACCAATCACAGCCAACAGATATCTTTCCCGTCCTCTATAAATATCAGTCTGATATACTCAAACACTCAAACAAAACAACAACAACTAATCGTCAGCAATTTTGATAATCAATAATTTCAGGTATTTTTCTTGCAATTGTCCAGTTTTTTAGTTTAATAAATCAGGTATTTGCTGCAACAAAGACAGAGCTGTTAGGTGAGCTACAAGTGCTTGTTCCTTTTGATCAGGCAATTTATAAAAGGTATTGCAGAGGTTTTTACTTGTAAAGATTCTGGGTGAGAAACAGTTTGGATATTTTTACATAGATGCACATTTATGGAGTGTGTAACGTCTCTCTGCTGCCGGCTTTTCCTATCATGAAGACAGTGGCTAGTCAGTGACTCATAGGGTGATGTCTGCTCTGTGTATTTGTCTTCACAACAACACTTAAACTTGTGTTTACGTGTCGGTACCAGAGCACCTTAAACTGTCCTCACATATAAGAGATTCTTTATTAACACACCTCTGGTAAAAACTGTTGACCTGTGCAGTCAGTGGTCAAGTTTGTTGGGGTTTTTTTTGTTGCACCTGTAGCTCTGCACATTTTTTCTTGCCTTGCAAATGTATTTTAACTGTATCATAACTTTTTCCCTTTTTGTTTTACAGTCAAAACAAAAGGCACACATGCAGGAAGTTGCAATGACGAAGGGATTAGTCAATTGACAGAAAATTATTCGCAACAATTCAGGCTTCTCAGATGAGAAGATATGATGCTTTTTTTCTACATCAAAACAGTGTGAATTGAATATTTGGAGAGTTTTTGGTCAGACAAAATAAGCAGTTTGAAGACGTGAGTTTGTGCTAGAGTTGCAACGATTAGTCAACTAATTGATCAATCGAGTGAAAACTAATCGCCAGCTTTTGTCATAATCTATTGATTGTTTTGGTCATTTTTGAAGCCAAAATGTCAAATATTTGCTGCATCCAGCCTCTTTAAACACAAGAATTTGCTGCTTTTTTTTTGTCATTTATGATAGTTCATGAGGAGTTTAGGGATTTTTGGACTACTGGT